ATCGTTTGATCTGATCGTGGTGGTGAGTACTACGGTAGATATGATGGTTCAGATGAACAACGTTCCGGACCATTTGCTAAATACCTAGAGGAGTACGGTATTGTTCCACAGTACACCATAACAGGGTCACCTAGTATGAATGATGTAGCTGAAAGATGAAATAGGACTCTTAAGAATATAATAAGAAGTATGATTGCTCATTCTTCTTTACCAGAGTCACTCTGGGGAGAAGCATTAAAGACATCAACTTACATTCTGAACAGAGTACTGAGTAAAGTAGTTGCTAAAATACCTTATAAGCTTTAAGTTGGTCGAAAATCCAGTTTAAATCATTTACATATTTGGAAATGTCCAGTTGAGACAATGCCTTCTAGGCCAAATGAAAAAAATTGGACTCCAAAACAATTAGCAGCTACTTTATTGGGTATTCTGAACACTCTAGGGGCTATAAGTTTTATGATCCCACATTCAGGAATATTTTTGAGACGGGAACAACAACATTCTTTGAGGATATTGAGTTTGGGGGGAGAAATAAGGTTAGAAACATTGCTTTTGAGGAGGAATTGACTTAAGACCCAATCCATACAGTTAATTTTGATAATATTCAGGTTCCTATACCTGTTATTGATCAAGAAGTAAATCTAGAATCTCAATATGACAATGTTGAATAACTCCCTGTTCTAGAAGAACAAACTCAACAACCTCAAGAACTAGTGCCATTAAGGAGATCCACGAGAGAAAGGAGAAATGTTATTTCGAATGATTATATTGTATTTCTCCAAAAACATAAGGAAAATAATCGAATGTTGGAAGATGATCCAATCAACTTCCTTCAGGCCATGAAAAGTTCTAACTCTTAAAAGTGGATTGATGTCATGAATGAAGAGTACAAGTCTATGCAAAACAATAAGGTTTGGGAACTTGTCCCATTGCTAGAAGGTACAAAACTAATTAGTTGTAAATGAATATTTAAAACCAAGCGGGATGCAAATGGTAATGTGGAAAGGTACAAGGTACGTCTTGTAGCTAAATGCTTTACTCAAAAAGAAGGCATTGATTATACAGAGACTTCCTCTCCGGTTTCGTCGAAAGACTCTTTTAGAACAATCACGACGCTTGTTGCACATTTTGATCTTGAGTTACATCAGATGGATGTTAAGACTATATTTCTCAATGGCGACATTGATGAGATAATTTATATGGTGCAACCAGAAAACTTTGTGTCAGGAGACCCGAAGAATATGATTTGCAAATTAATAAAATCCATCTATGGACTCAAACAAGCTCCTCGTCAATGGTATTACAAGTTTCAACAAATAATTATCTCATTCAGTTTTGAGATGAATATTGTTGATGACTGTGTATATCACAAGTTCAGTGGGAGTGGTTCTGTATGTCGATGACATATTGCTTGCCACTAATAATATAGGCATGTTGCACAAAACTAAAAGATTTCTATCAAAGAATTTTGAGATGAAAGATCTTAGGGACGCCTCTTTTACATTAGGAATCCAAATACATCGAGATCGTTCTCGAGATATACTTGAATTATCACAAAAGAGCTATATCAGTAAAGTACTCAAAAGTTTTGGCATGCAATATTGTAGACCAGGTGACACTCCTGTTGCTAAAGGAGACAAGTTCAGTCTCAATCAGTGCCCTAAAGGTAATCTTAAATTTCAGGAAATACATAAGATTCTCTATGCATCAGCTATAGGAAGTCTAATGTATGCTCATGTATGTACACGCCCAGATGTTGTGTATATTGTTGGTATGTTAGGCAGATACTTAAGCAACCCTGGTATGGATCATTGGATAGCAGTCAAAAGGGTTATAAGGCTTACATAAAAAAAATCAGAACAGCTAGAGGTCATTGAGTACTCTGATTCTGATTTTGCTAGATGTTAAGATAGCAGAAAGTCTACATCAGGCTATATTTATATGTTAGCATGAGGAGCTATATCATGAAAAAGTGTCCAACAGACACTCGTAGCTTCCTCCACTATGACAGCTGAATTTGTAGCTTGCTATGAGGCATCCAATCATAAAATATGGTTGCGAAATATTGTCACTTAGTAACCTTTTCTCATACAGAATCTACTAAAAAAAACATAGTATATTCCAATGTGATAAAGTTACATAGTGTCTATTTTTTTTATAAAGGGGTATTTCCATAGGTTTGCTTTGGTATCGTGTTCATACTGTCGTATTGAATGATCCCGGTTGATTGCTTTCCGTCCATATAATGCATACGGCTCTAGTTTCTGGTTAGGCCGGTTCGATGGCTCTATACGCTTCTTTTGGGTGTGAAGCAGTGTCAAACCAAAATACCCAACAAGCATAAGCATTAGCTCTCCCTAAAAAGGAGGTGATCTAGCCGCCCCTTCCAGTACGGCTACCTTGTTACGACTTCTCTTTGTGGTATTCCACTTCTTTCTTGTTTTTGGTCCAAAGATGAAATTCTTAATGATAGTTGGTTTGTATTCACCAACTTTCGCAATAATAGCATCCTTCACAACTGGAAAATGTTGAAATACCACTAAAGTTATTTTGTGATAATAAATCAGTAGTTATGTATTCCAATAACAACAGAAACCTAACTAAGTCAAAACATATTAACATTAAATTCCTAGTTGTGAAAGAAATGGTACAGAGTGGACATATATTCGTAGAGCACATTGGGACAAACTCCATGATAGCTGATCCTCTTACTAAAGGATTGCCACCTAAGGTCTTTTATGAGCACATTGCTCATATGAGTGTGATATTATTTGAGGATATCATGATTTAGTGAGAGTTTGTGATTATGGTGCTTTAAGTTAGGTTGTATTGTCTGATCAGAATAAAGTTTTTAGTTCATACACTCTGGTACTTTATGTTTGAGGATGACCCCACTAAAGTTTAAGGTATGACTAGTTAAAAATAGATATTTACTGATCACATTGCATGTAATTTTCATGCTACACATCCATGATTGATCTATGTTGTTTATTGTATTGGTACATGTGATCATTAATGGGTCAAGTCACGATAAATATGACGAAGGCTACTTTGATTCTATATTGATATAGTCAATGGGCGAGATTGTTTAGAAATACCCTTTTCAGTGTTAGCAATATTTGAGCTCATAAGGTTATACATACTTTAATGAATCATATGATGCCCAAGTGGGAGATTGTTGGATTTAAATCTAATTAAATCTAATTTGTGGGCACATATGATTAATCAGTGTGTATTGCTATTCTTAAGGATAACCCGCATAAAGTGATAAATCAATTTGGGTTAATGGGTGTTTAAATAAATCATGGGCTAAAATATGCAGATACTATGTTGTAATTATAATTTGATGAGAGACCAATTATAAAAGTGCAACACCTATAAACAAGGGGTTATGGTCCCTAATCTAGGGTTAACATTCTCTATTCTCTTATCCTCATCTAAGATTCTTAAGGAGAGACCCTCAAGATTAGAAGATCATCAAAACTCTAATTCAGATCCGTGTAGATTCAGGTATAGCTTCCGCTCTTGTTGTATTAAATCTCTTTGAATTAATCATGGTTATTAGATCTATATTTAGATCGATTAAGTCCAACAATTATTACTCCATCCCCCTCTTCTCACACAGTCATGTCAGTATCCTCTTATTATGCATAGTCTTTCAAATCTATTCTCGTGTGCATATCGTGTTCTCCTTCACATGCGTACTCATGTTGATATTATCTCATTGCATGCAATCTCATCGATTCTCTTTTTCCCTCTTCTTACGTGATGCTATATATTGACCTCCTTGATCTCCTCATATGCGGGATAGTTATGTGAGCATCTTGGTTGAAATAACAACCATTTGACCATGTAATTTCTTTTAGTAAAGACCACCATTAATTTGTATGTCAAAAGACTACCACTAAATTACCCACTGCAAGGTATCCCGGCGGTTGTGAAGTTTTAATATGGCTCCTACGGTTTTAGGTTTGATTTTCGGGCTATGTTATTAAAATCACTAATTTGTATTCATTGCAAGTCTTGGCCACATTAAGCAACAAGGAGCCTTAAATTGTCTTTCTTTAAAAGAATAAGCATACCACGTCAAAAAAAAAAAAAAAACCCTGCCCTCTATTTCGGGTTATACCCTAAATCAGGGGTAGAAGTATTTTTTGAAATTCCTACATGCAAACAATATAAAAAGCACGTACGCACCCACATACTGCAGATTAATGAACAAAGACAACTCATACAACATAGACATAAAATGATTTCTAAAGTTTCTAAATGCTAAAGTGGTTAACTATTTATACATTTTTAGTTTTGTCGTGCTTAATTAAAATTGCCCTCAAATATCGGCTTTTGCGAAAATCACCCCTCAAAACTAGCATATTAGGTTTTCCTACCGCTTCAATTTAAGAATACTATTTTTCAAGAAAAATATTAAGTGTACTAATAGAGTTGCACTATTCTTAAACTACTAGACATAAGAAAGTAGGGTCTGTAGAAACTCATAATTTCTCTTTGCAATTTATAAGAAAAGGCTTTTCTTTTGTGTGTGTGACACTACAAAAGTAACACCACTCTAATATACAGTTATCACTACTCATTTTTTTAAACAAGGCAATGTTAAAAATCACAATAATTTGCAATAGATTTGCAACTATTTCTCATTTAAAAACTAAAATTATCAAGGGGAAGGGTAGGAAAAAACAATGTGAGAGAATTGGAGGGCAATGTTACAAATATCAAGAATAAGTTTGCAAATACGAAAAGTTTGAGGAGTATAAATGCAATAAATAATAAGTAAATAAAACTTTTTGCCGGTGGTCAGCATTCAGCAAGTTTTATTTTGACCGGGGGCCTAGAAATGATCAGAAGGTCAAAGATCAAAGGCAGCCATCAGTCTAGACCGCGACGAGCCATTCCTCAAAACAACCAACGGTCGAGATCGCCTGATAATCATTCATTGGGCCGCTCAGTGCCACGTGGCTTCCAATTTCCACTCTCGGTAGATATTTGGCACTTTAAATTATGCTCGAAGTCTCCGCTCGTTCCTCCTCCGATCTCCCCCGGCTCTTTTCAGGAGGGAGCCATCAACTTCGTCCCCAAATTCAATCAAGTAAGTCATTTTTCGATAACTTAATTTTGTTTCGAAATATTTTCCATAAAATTACCTAATTTTACCCCTTGTGATTAGGATCTGGTTTCGATTAGTTGATCCCAAACCCTAACCCTAAGCCTGAAATCATGTCGATGGGTGGAAACAAAGACGACGCCTTGAAATGCATCCGAATTGGGAAAGAAGCCCTAGAATCAGGAGATCGCACTCGCGCCCTAAAATTCCTCAACAAAGCTCGTCGCCTCGATCCCTCTCTCCCCATTGACGATCTCTTATCCACTGCCAAAGAATCCTCTGAGTCTAATCACAACCCTAGAAATGAGCCTGAACCTGAGAGTGCAACTGTTGGCGCGTCGTCTTCTTACTCGTCGCCGTCGTCCAGTTCGGCTAGGGCTAGGGTTTCTTCTAAGGGGTCTTCGAAAGATTACACGGAGGAGCAGCTGACTATTGTTCACCAGATCAAGAAGCAGAAGGATTATTATCAGATTCTTGGGTTGGAGCGCAGTTGCACCGTGGAAGATGTTCGGAAGGCGTATCGAAAGCTTTCGCTGAAGGTTCATCCTGATAAGAACAAGGCGCCCGGTGCTGAGGAAGCCTTTAAGGCGGTCTCCAAGGCTTTCCAGTGCCTTAGCAACGAGGAAACGAAGAAAAGGTACGATCTTGTTGGGTCAGAGGAGCCGAACTATGGAAGGGCCCCGACTAGGCAACATTCTCATGGATTCAATGGGTTCTATGGTGATGACTTTGATCCAGATGAGATCTTTAGGAATTTCTTTGGTGGAGGACCTCAAGCAACTACTCCTTTTGGGACGTTCCACTTTAGAACTGGTGGCATGGGCATGCCAAATGGTAATGGTACGCATGGATCGGGTAATGGGAATCTCCGGATGATTATTCAGATGCTGCCCATTATTCTATTGGTCCTGGTAAACTTGATTCCTTCATCGGATCCGATATACTCACTGTCTCGTAGTCACCCGTATGAACATAAGCTTGAGACAAAAAAGGGTGTGGCTTATTTTGTTAAGTCTTTGTCTAAGTTTGAACAGGATTACCCTTACAATAGTTCCGAACGCAAGAATTTGGAGCGTCATGTTGAGAGGGAATATGTTGATATTATTTCACAGAATTGTCGAGTTGAGGTGCAGCGACGACATTGGGGCTTAGTAAAGGAGATGCCTCATTGTGACTTGCTTGAGAAGTATCATGCAACGGCGTAGTTTCATCTGCACAGGTATTTGCCTTCTTCGCATGTTTCTTTTCCCTTTTGTTATATGTGATTTCCTATATTATTACATTATTATTTAGTTCAATCGGTAATGGTAGCTTCTAAGATGTGATAACTCACTTAGGGTTTCTTATGAGATAATTTATCAGTCTATAATTACTTTATCGACTAGTGAGTATCAAGGGTTGAAATCATTAAATGTATCAATTAGATGTTAGTAATTTTAAGTAGAATGCGGCAATTTTTCTCAACCTTTGATAATTAAAATTCTTCTGATTCGATGCCTTCATTCTTAGCTTCACTATTTCACTTGTTTTTTTACAAAAGGTGTTTTGTACATGAGTTCTGAAAATGATGCTTGGATGTATCAAATTCATGAATGTTAGATTGTGACTCTGTGATGAACCAAAAGTAGAAGTTATCATGATGATATGTAGACTAGGTTGCCAAAGTTGGTAACAACCTTTACATTAGATCATAGTCAGGTTATATGGACAGATGTCGTGATCAATCTAACTCAATCTTGATTTATTTCCGTTTTATTTGGTTGATATAATGTTTTGAGCATCAGTTTGGCCTAAAAAATTTACAAGTTTTTGGGCTTGTTTTGGCTTAAACCCTTTTCCTCAAACTACGAACCATTCAGGTTCTATCAGCTTGTTTAAGCAATTTACATTTTGTTATAGGAAGCAATTGGTTTGTAGTTGGCTACTATTCTTCTTGCACAGTATATTAGTAGAAGAAAAATGCCTATATTAAAATTCCATATTTAGGAAAACCTAATTATAGTGATGATGATGATTATCATCATGCAACTCCTATTTTAACTAGGTTAGAAGGAATGTTCCGCTCTATACTGTTTCCTCTCTAATGTTATTAGGCCTGTGTTTATTTATTGTTTGTACAATACCTGATTTGTTGATAATTCTTACCATTTGATGTTGTTTTAGCTATTTTTGGGAACAATTAAATTCCTTAATCCTTATATCATATTTGTTGTCTAAAAGTAAAAAAAAAATGGCTTGATGAATCAGTAACTGAAGTAGCTACTAGCTTCAAATATAAAATGGCAGCATACTAACTTTATACATAAAAGTTTAAGTAGCGGAGATTTTTTGTAATCCGTCTATAAAATAGACCATGCTAAGTTTTGATAAGACAATCTTCTGATATAACATGATTTATTCATCCTAAAGCTACCTAGTAAATAAGGGTGCAAATTTTCTGAGTTAGGCCGGGTGAGTTTTTGAACATTTTACTGACATGATATGCAAATCCTCAACTCCTAACCCACCTGAAACTGATTGGTTTCGATTGCCACATGATTTTGGATTGAATTTGGGCTTTTTAAGGTATATTCAGGTATGTTCAGGTGGGTTGAATTTGGATTAAATTTGGACTTTTTAAGGCATGTTCTGTTGATGGGTAGATTTATTTGGATATACATTTTCATCTCAAAAAAGAAACCAAAATTGATGATAAGAAAGATTTCTGTGAAGGTGTGCTCATGGAAAGTTGAGTTTATAACTTTATCTGTATCATATAAAATTTAAGGTAAATAGGTTTTGTTATTGATTAATTTCATTGAAATTGATAAATTACAAAACAAATTGCATTCTTATAGAATTACAAGCTACATGTTTGACATCTATGCTAGGAAACCTTTATCCAGAAGGATCCATGAGCCAAGAAAAAGCACTGACTCACAAATTGGAATAAGTTATAGGTGGTAATAAATAGAGTTGATGAGCATTGATACATTACGAGAGGCAAAAATCAACACCTTGCAGGACAATTAGTTCTGGCTAGGGGATTGTAGAGTGAGCAAGAAGAGAGATTGACATAGTCAGGAAGGGTGTGCCTAGATTTGAGGGAGGGACGGGGAGAGGAGATGCTGAGGTGCCCGATTGTTGTCCCTTCCCCTCTCAAATTGATATATAAGATAGTTTGGACATATCTCAAACTTTCATCTTATTAAATGACTTGAAAATAGACGTGTATATTTGTATATACAACTGAGAATATACATGTATATTTATATATGCCTGATTGTTTATAAATTATCTAGCAGGTATGAGTCAGGTTTGATTTTAATTAGATGGTTTTAGTTGTGCACGTTTTTACTAAAAAAATTGTCTAATTGGAAATTATTTTTGGTCTTGCCTGGCTGAGTTCCACAAATTTACTTCACGATGATTTATTCGAATAAAACTGACCTTATCGACACTCTTAATAGTAATTGCACATTTAAACTATGTCCTTATGGGAACAAATATATTGTTATCTAATTTGAGTTGAGGAAGTAACTTTTCAGTCAGTCTTACGAACATGTTAATCTACATTATGATATTTCTAGTGAGAGATGAGAAGGAAGACTGTCAGTTTATACCCTTAAAAATGTAATTATTCCCTTCTGGCTTCTAATTATCCTCTTCTAGAAATAAACTAGTTTCAGAATAAACTAATTTCATTAATTCTTGTTGAAAGACAATTGATTTTACATGTTGAATAGAGCACCAATGTGATGAAGAAAATATTAAAAAAAAGGGATTACTCGTTAGTCTACCTTAGAAAACTTAGAAAAAAACTTGAAATCCAAAGCCCAAACTAGTTAAGTTAGAAGAAAAATTAGACATGCCAAGGTCCACATTGTTGGAATTGAAATTTAACAAACAAAAATCTAAAGGAACACAATTAGAAATGCCCCAGCAATAAAAAACATAACACTTTATCATCTCCTAAGAAGCTAAGACGTTTCTAATTAAAATGTTATCAACCTTGAGCCATGCTTCATGAAGAGACTGTCAAAATTAACAACCAAACTTATGCTCTAAAACTTAAAACTAAAACTAAAAGAAGAGACATCAAAACGAAGAATAATATGTGTGCAATGTTAGGTTGTTAATCTTGCTATTCTATAGCATGTGGGTAGCAATGTTGGATGTATTTGGTGACATGAAAGAGCTGACAAAAGAGGGAGATGGTGTTCTCATAAGCGGCATGTAATGTAAGAAGATAGATTTTTCAAAGGGTAATATTTGGATAATTTAAATTACAAGGATTTTGACTAGTTTTGCATTGAAATGTTCAGTTACATTTCATTTTGGGAATAAAACATTCACATTTGGAGAAACTTCTTTTTATAGAAATGTGAATCGTGAAAACAAATTCTTAGAATATTTTAGCATCATACTTGACATGGTTTTATCATTTTGGAGATTGTAGTTTTCTTGTGTTAAATTGGTTGGTAAAACTCCTAGAAATGTGATAATACCCTAAAGACATTTCTTAGATTTTAGTTGAATTGTTAGAAGTTGAGGTGACTTCCAGACAATATTAGTGATATCAATAATAATGATGATGAAACATTTGTCTTGCCCCACACCCATGATACGATGAGTCACATAACTTGGTTGACAATACATACATAAGAACCTTACTCAACCTTGTGTATATATCGAAGCCTTAATCCATGCAACCTAAATACATCAAATATAGATCTTAGAGTACATAGTGTACATATACATTTATGAAGAGAAATGAAAATGTGCAATGGATACATAAAGCTACATAATCTCCACATGTTCAATGAAGTATAGGGCTCAATAGCCATGATACATAGTCACAACTAACAAATAATAGGATGTCAAAAGGTTATAACTTATATAGTACTAGGACCTTACGTGCTGTCTCAGAGCTTCTTCGCCTGCTCCTGATAGTAAAGTTGATCTTAAACTGTGGTATGTTGCTTTGGATATGGGGAAACAACCCTAGTTTTGTTAAAACACGGACTAGCAAGTGGTAAAATGAGGAAAAGAAGCATGTAACAATAATAAAAATGGAACCAACCACGCACATGCAAGCATGTATTAATAGTATGAGGACGCAAAAGAGGATGTAAAAGAGCGTGACAATATGATATATCTATATCTGATGTATATCAAGGTTGTAGAAAGCGTTAGGCACCAAACTCTGCCCCTAGGCGGGACCTAAGCGATTTTCCTTTGTTGATCTTTTTTTAGTTACGATAGTTGATAATAAATACAAAACTCATAGAAAATTACAAAAAATAAAATAAAAACATGACAATTAGGTTCATAATCAGCTATGCATAAATAGGCTAAGTAATATATACTTAGAAACACCAGAATAATAACTCAATGTCAATGACATTTAATATCTCAAATTTAGAAGTCCAAGGCTCAAGATATTGGCGAAAAAACAAACAAAAACGAATAGTTTAATATGCATAATCATTTAATCTAATCACCACATCATGGTACTCCTTCAATGCATCATGATTATCCTCGAAGGAGTAAATGTCACTACAGTCCTCGTCCCTCCTCATCCGTCACATCGTCATGGGAGGCAATAAGCTCTTCTTTGTCGGCACTCGTCGGAGGCCCTGTTGTTAGTCTCTCACTCTTATGGTTATCTGCAGTCTCATCCACTCTATATGTAGCCTTTATCATCGTCCATGGAAGGTCTGATCCCTGATGAATCTATTCATCATCATTGGAGGCATATCCTTCTAGGATCTATGCTTGTTCCTTAGTACGACGTGTGATAGTAGCACGTCCTTGTCTTCTCTCTTTTTTGGCTTGAGCTTGATGTTGAACTTCACATGCACAAAGTCCTCCTATTTCTTTGACTTTAATCTGTTTCTCTTCTTTGTATGATCTCAAAGGAAAAAAAATTTAGTAAACTAAAATAAGAACTAGATCTACGTCTTGTGAGCAATTTTAGATCTTAGTTTATTCCTTAAATATGCTCCAGCTACTATCGCATTCGAAATACCTGTGAGATTAAAAAGTTTCATCGCCAGTTTTGTATAAAACAACAATTACCACCATATGCAAGTCCCATTAACCAGTTACAAAACACAGTTCATTAGTTGAATTCACCATTACATCAAATAACTTATCAGTGATTTAATTTATAAAATCAATTTTATCTGGGTTACGTTTACTTTTCTACCATACCTTCTATATGCCGCCCATTAAATAAACCCTTTCATGCTCTATACTCCTCGTACTTCTCAAAGAGCTTAACTTGTTGATCCACGTCGGAATGGAATAACTCCATATCTAGAACCGTCCTTTGCCTCTTTATAGTTCTTGGCCACACCATTCTTGTAGAAGTACTAAGGTTTGAGGACGTAAAAGGCTATACATAAGGCGTGAAAAGATAGGGAGAGGGTGAAAGAAGTGGTGGAAGCTAATTCCAAGAAGCAAATTAAGGAGAGACACATTATGGATTTTCAAATGACAAATCTGGTGGTTGTAGATGAAGGAAATGACACTCTCAATCACCAGTGGGATCTTCAAAAAAGTCTAGAGAGCCAATTATTTTACTAATGGATGCTTAAAATGCATTTTCTTTTCGAGGGAAATGAAGACAACACAAAAAAGGATATTAATCGTGCTGGTTCTTGTGAGTTCCAAGAAAAGAGATGAGGATTTGAATAATTATCTCATGCGTTTAAATCATTGGATGGAGTGAACTGTCCTCCGTTACAAAAGACCATACTTACCTTACTCTACTTTAAACAGAGGGTAAATAGAGTAATTTTTCATAGGGTATAACTAGCCCTAGGAACAAAAAAGCCGTGCCCTGTAATAAAATATTATCTATTGCCATGCTATTGGAGCCATCTTTGTGGCTCCTTTTGCTTTGTTTTTTGAGAGGTTCATTTTTTTTATTCTGTAAAAAATACATCAGTGATTTTATGACAATCTTCTGCGTTTTCATTTGTGCATTATTTCGTTTGTGCATTATTAGGAGGAAGAGCTGGGATATTATGGAAATTATTATGCCCACCTACTTGGAGGGAACAACATTCCTATGAAATAAGGGAAAATGATTTGTATTTCTTGAAAGTCTGAGGTGTTTTATGCCAAATTGGATCTTAGATTCCACAAACAGATTTATGTGGCACCATATACCACCTTCAAACCATTTTTTTTGAAATAATGGCCGGTATTTTGTGTTTTTTCATGTTTCTCGAAATGGTATCTTATAGTTATAGGTTAAAATATTGGTTATGTCATGCTTAAATGCAATAGACACTTCTTTTAATGTATGTGTTGTCCAATACTTTCATACATGGTGTTTGAGATGTGGAACAGTGGTTAGTGATTGGAGAATTACTAACTAAATTTCTTTAGTTAACTAAGCTGAGAGCAAATTTCCTAAAAATTGAAGGGGTTTGCCAAAATGGTTCAGATAGATGTAAGGATCAATAGTGAAAATGTTCGAGTTATTGCTTCTAGAGAAGGATAGCCAAGTGAAATTTGTGGTTATGATGGCAACTAAAATTGGCATTTTTCAGGTGGTTCATTTGATCATTGAAATTTTGGCTGCGACTTGATCTTCTTATCTTCAAGCTTATGGAACATTATATATAAGATACAGAAAATCAATAAACTGTAAAACAAACCTTGGATCTGTGAAACTATTTATTGCGCCTGAGAACTTTCTTCTATTTTGTCTTTGTCCTGTATGCCATTTCAATTTAGCGAGTTTTGAGAGGAGCAGTGCAAGCTTCTTTCCTGTGTGACATCTTGGGAATTATTTATTGCAGTGCTTTTGAGAGCTTTCTCCTGTTTTCGTTTTGTTTCCTGTGTGACATTTTAATTTTAGCCAGTTTGGAAAATAGCAATGCAAATTAGTTTTGAAGCAACAATGCATAAATTACTATTGCCTAAAAAAGTGTGCCACGTTAGTTGCTGTTAATGATCTTCAGAAATATATCCAACATTCCAACTTGATAGGATAAGTTCTTACCTATATGTTTTCATGAACTAATTTTTGCTAAAGAAGTTCTAATTTATCATATAGCAAGCACTTAAATCTGTTTAAGTTTTGGTATAAGAAGGTATATTTGATGGGTAAACCCATGCCCTTTTACACGTTGTGATAGGATTTTAACATATAGAGTATAACTTGATTTAGGCGTACAAATGTTGTTTTAATATGTAATATCCAACTTGATAGCATGTAGGTTGAATATAGTGAGTCATAAAGAGGAGGGGAAACATGCTGCCTGAAGCTTTATGGTGTCAACAATACTAATGTTTTCTCTTTTCTTCTTCCTCATCTTTATTTATTGTCTGCTTGGCACTGTTTAATATTTTATTTGTTGCGCAGCATTAGGATAAATTATTTTTTTTGTTCAATCCCTCCTTTATTTACTTTTCTTTTGATTTGAGTTATATGGTTTGTAGAAAGCAAAGACAATCAACCAAATTGTGTACAACTTTTTACGTATTTAAGACCTCTTTTATGTCCTTGTGGCTTGTTGCGAACAATCGAGTCCAAGCAAGGACTGAATCCTAAGGAAAATTGTGGTTTGAGCGCAGAAAGAGCAAGAAAAAAAAGGGAGCTCAGGGATATAAGGAAGTAAAAATAACAGAAGCTGGAAGTAGTAGAAACAGGAGTTTGGAAGTAATTGGCCTTAATGTTTGATACTCATCAAAGGGCAAAAATGCACTTGGTCTTTCAAAGGGGTTAGTAATTCTAGTTGGGTTCAGGCTGTTCGGGAGTAGAAAACTTGCGTTAACAATTTAGAATTAAGTACCCTCCTGAAGAAGAACCTAGAGTGCTATCAAAGAAATGATTGTCAAAGTGTTGGTTACTGGATAGGCAAAAATAGATAAATCTCATCCATGAAGCAGCTTCTTGCATGATAATTTGTACCCCTAGAGATTTGGAGAAAAATGTTGTTTAGAGTTGACATAGTGGGCAATGGGTTGATGGTCCCTGTTAGCTTCAATTATTACTGGGAAAAAAAAGAGAAAAAAGAGAGAAAGAAACATGTGGTTACTAGTATCATCCATCAGGTGGCTTTGGTTCTAGCATCAGGCTGTACATTGCCAGATCTTTAAAGTTTGAACATGATCTAATTGGTATTATCTGTCCTGATCTGACTACAGTGAGCAAAGGACGACGACTGCAGGGATGAAGTAAAGGTCCCTGGAAGAGGCTATTAGAAAGCAAACACTTCTCCGAAAGAGAATCTTATGTGGGGCAACTGGGCAATCTCACAGCTGAAAGGGGACTGCAAGTTTGGAAATTATGTTATGGAGAAGGGCATTAAAGTACCACATGAATGTGATGCACATTATTCCTTGCAAGTTGCAAAAGTGAAAGACTGATTCCACCTGTATTTTTCTTGGCTTATATTCTCTGGGGAGTGCTGTTGCCCACATCTCATTCTTCACGTGTAGGATTTGCACCCTCATTGTACTAGATGAATACTCATGCAATAATGAAATTTCTATCTATTATAAGTCTAAACTGAAAAGACTGCAAATTTATCTTTTGTTTTTTCTCGTAAGAAAAGTTTGGCCACTTATTCTGACTTCTGATGTGTCTAGTTTCTGGTGGTTTTCCTTTTGCAGGTAGTGGAGAATATATCAGTAAGATACTACAGAGCTGGTCCTGCCTTTTGCTTAGGCTCTTGCAAAGAATTTGACTGGAGAAAAGAGACGGGAGTGGTTCTCTACTGATAGGATTCTACTTCTTGACATCTCATTGTATCTTCAGTCTATCCTCTCCTCTGGTTCGTTCACAACATCGACTTAGAAGTATTATTGCTGCAAATCATATTACGTCAGTACCTGATTGTGCTTGGGCTGATTTTCTTATCTTCCTCATTTTATACTTTTGTAGCGATAAGTTTGATGGCCTCCTTTTTGTTGATAATAATAGCAGTATTCGTACATGGTGCCTCAGCTTAATTTGCTTCTTGGATCGATGCTATTTGACTGGTGAAGAAATGACTTCTTTTTGTACTATGCTATTCACAGTATATATTTGTGGGGGGGGTAAATATAAAATTCATCAGGAAATGTCTTGTATGCCCAGGATTCTAACAATTATGCAGCTACGCCTTATATTATGAGATTGGATCAAACACTGTAACACATCACTGGGTTACCGACCGACATAAGCGATCACTTCCATTGTTCGTCATCAGCCGATCTCTCGATAGTTATGGACGCAACAGTATTTCCAAAATCATCAGTTTTTGTGTCTTTTGATTTTGGCCTCTCAAATCTGAAGTGTTTTGAATTAGTCCCCTATAGATATTTCAGCCAGCTCCTAACTCTGGAGGATTACCCACGAAGGCAAAATTATTCGCTTCCTCAGGCTTTCAAACTCCGGCACTGCTATATCCCTGCTTATTAGACTCTAGTATCAATTGATTTTTCACTGCTTGCACCGCAGACTAAGCAGATGTTATGTGGGCTAATCAGATTAAAGTCACTTTTTCGACGCTATTGAGGGAGTAGAGGACAAGATTAACCCAACCCTTTTAGAGGACGTGCATTTTTGCGTGTACATAACACTAGCACTATTGCACATATGTGCAGATGCATGTGTAACCGAAATCAGAACTTAAAATTATAACTTCTACATAAAATGGGTCACTTCTCCTAAGGGGTCATCACTTTTTCCAAGAGCTTTTTGTGGTGTTTGTTCATTTAATAAATTATATTTTATTTATCTTATTCGGAATTAGCTATCATAAATATTTCAATTTAAGCGAAGATATAATTTTCTTAGATAACGTTTTTAGAAAACTCTATTTTTCATATGTCATTCAAGTTATTATTTTAATTATTTTTAGCCCAAGTATCTAGATATACACTTTTGATAATATTTATATAGGAACATATTGAAATTATAATTGTTATTTTCATTGTGTTTGTTTATGTGCATTTTTGGGAAAAAAACTTTATCATTTCCTATTTATGTCAATATATTGGAACATATTGAAATTATAATTGTTATTTTCATTGTATTTGTTTATGTGCATTTTTTTGGAAAAAAAACTTTATCATTTTCCTATTTATGTCAATGTAATGGGTATGTTATTAAGCAGCTTTAATAATAAGCTCATGTCAACCTTTTAAAAAGTTCTGAAAAAAAGAAGGGAAAAATGCATCTAGGCCCCAAAAAATAAAGGGGATGTGACCCAGTCCCTCAATGTTTTCCCCTTACTCTTTAACCCCAAAAACCCAAAAAAATTTGTTCAGCCCCCTTTTCACACTCTCCCAGAAATTCATTCCAAAAGCTTCCGAAAATACCCCTTTCCCTTTTCTTCTTCTTCTTTTATGAGTGTGTTACTGTCCTCCGCCTCCCCAGATCCGGTCTCATCGGAAAAATTCCATCGCTAGCTCTCGGTAACCTCACTGCCCTCCACACCATATCCCTCCGCTTCAACGCACTTTCAGGTCCTCTCCCCTCCGATCTCTCCTCCATGGCCGTGCTCCGGAACCTCTACCTGCAGGGGAACAAGTTAACCGGTGAGATCCCGACGTCTTTAGCCTCGTTGCATCATCTCGTTCGCTTGAATCTCGTGGGAAACAAGTTTTTCGACGAGATTCCAGTGGCTTTCGGATGATCTTTACTATGACTTGTATGTATAATTTTAGTTTGGTTGGTCTGCCAATAAGAAGATGACATCCACCAGCATTAAGTGAAGCTTATTCATATCATAAACTGCATTTCTTTTTTTACTTAGTTATCAACGTGTATTGCCTTAGTATTTAATTTTCTCAATTCTCCTTCATATTGAAGGCTGAGTGTTAGGTTGGACAAACATCTAGAGGGAATCCTTGAACTATGCTAGAATTCTCAATATTTTCGTACTTTTAGCCCGTTAAAGCTTTGCCTTCACAAGTAACTAGATGCTGCTTATTGGTTGGTTTCACAGAGGCTTTGGAGGTGCATGCTTCAACTGTAGAAAATCTAGGCACCGGGTTCTGAATGCCCAAATAACTAAGGCAAGATCGTTAAACTATTGCAGTTTGTTTAATGGAGTTTTGATGCTGATCGGTTTGATGCCCAAATAATTAAAGCTAGATCGTTACAATTAATATAGTCGTTCCCAGATGATGATCAGTTATAACAGACTCACTTGGTTACAACATGACTTGCAAATCTAAGATGTCCATGGCATTGTAAAATTACACAGGCTCAAGATGTCGTGTTTGCAGTTGGATAGGATGGTCTAATTTAAAGTTATGCAATGATTTTGTTCCTTGATGCTTCTTATGAAACGATGTTAGCATTAACCTGATGGGGCACAGCTGTGGAAGTTCTCTCTTCTTTCGTACTTTCGTATGATGTTATTTTATTTATTGTTCTATAGGATGAAAGGTTACCGGGGAGGAAAGAGAACCGTGATTTGGTTGTACTTAGATCAAAATTTAATGAAATGTATTGTCTATTTAGTGATCAATTTTGGTGTAATTTATTACGATTGTATGTGAAATGTATTGTGGCTGTCATGTGAATATGTACAAGTTTATTCAAATAGAACTTGATCTGCATAATAAACTAAATATTACATCAAAATGTTGTGTATCAAAACCTGAATATTATGGTACATAATATGTACATAATCTTGAGGTTATTGTGTACATAATATATACAGATTATGTACATAATCTCCAAGTTACGATACACTATTAAATCTCATTATATGTTAACTCTCCTCGTAACATGTTAACTTTCAGCTGAACATGTTAACTTTCATCATAATATGTTAACTTTTATAATAATATGTTAGCTTTCTTCATAACAAGTTTTTTTGAACTAAAATTCGATGTGTTTGAAAGACTAAAAGTCCCTCAAGATGATTTATCTTTCATATATAAATCTAAGAGGCACTCGAAATAGTGGTTGTATGGAGCTTCATATGCAAGCTGTTGTTAATATAAAGAGTTCTATTTTTTTAAAAAAAATAAAAAGTTCTAACTGAAATGGTAACATGTAAAAAATAAAAAAGTTTTGAGATTGTAAATCTAATCATATCGTGTATTCAAGTAATATCAGCTGTAAGAATGTAAGAATTTTATTATGGTGAGCGTTAATATGTTCAGTTGAAAGTTAACATGTAACGAAGAAAGTTAACATATTATGTTGAAAGTTAACATGCAATAGTAAAAGTTAACATATTATGATGAAAGTTAACTTGTTCAGCTGAAAGTTAACATGTTACGAAGAAAGTTAACATATTATTATGAAAGTTAACATGTAACTGTGAAAGAGTTATTACGTAGTATATATCACAGTAAAGTTAGTTGTTTACACGTATTGTTCTATTTTTTCTCTTCTTTTTAGTAGTAATTGGTGACAATCTCTCAATTTTATCTCTTGACATACTTCGCTTCTCATAATCTGGGATGAGATAAAAGACTTGATCATAGCTTTTTCTAAACGCTTCAATGAAAATAAAACAGTGAAAGTTAACAGGTTTGGATGAAAGTTAACATAAAGCAGCGAAATTTAACATTCAGTATGAAAAGTTAACATACTAGGAGGAAAGTTAACACGTTCAGTTAAAAGTCAATATATAACTATTATAGTTAACATGTTTTGGTAAAAGTTAACATATAGCTATGATACTTAACACACGACAGGAAGAGTTAACATGTAACCTAGAAAGCTAATATTTACGATTTGTTAGTTCAGCGTAGTGCAGAGCCACGGAGGGATGTCTCCCCTCCCTCTCCCCTTTTCACGGGATCCACATACTCTAACGAGTAGAGAATGATACTCTTTCTAGTAATATTTCTTTAGCTTCTAATTCCCATTAATTCACTGTCACAATTAACCCCATCGGTGATTTGTCAAACATAACATCATCATCATCATTATCGCCGTCAATAGCAGAAAGTAAACATACACTAATAAAATGAAGCTACAACTAAGAAACATAAGAATGAGATCATAACAAATCCCCAAAACCCAACCCAACTCGCTAACAATGAAATCAACCCTCCCTCAATTCTTCTCTTTTTTTATATTTTTAACAAAAAAAGATATCATTAACTGAAAGCAATTGCATGGTTTTGTCTCTCATTGAGAGAGCGATCAGATCATAAGTAAGACATCCTTCACTCTTACAAAAACTAAGAACCAAAATGCTATTTCAAAAGACTTATGAGCTTATGAACATGTAGCTCCTGAACAAAATTACAACATACAAAATATAGTCTATAAGACCAATCTTCTCCGCCACCACAACAAAACATCTTGGATCTAGGTTCCACCAATGAGAAAACAAAACCATATGAACCCCCAGTTGCACGTGAAACATCCACAAAAGGAGAGCATAAACCCCGAGTCCAACATGATAATCGGCCACCATGCCATCATTCATAATCACATTTTTCATTTCAGCCTGAGTAGTCAAGCCAAAAACCAAGAATAGCCGAAAAAACCTTCTGCTACAGTAATAATTATCAAGGTGAATCGCCCATATCAACAGCATGAAATAGGCCCTTATACAGTGAATTTCTTGTACTACTGCCATTTCTAGCACCTTACCTAGTGGCCAAAACAAACTAGTAGAAATCCAAAACTCATGGCATTCATGCCCATCAAGAAAACCAGAAACCAACTAACTCGAAACCAGGGAACCCCAAAACCAGGTAAAAAAAAAACAAAAATAAGAGCAGCATGGGGGTGCATGGGGGGTAAAAATCCCCTTATCCCCTCCATTGGCGAGATGAATCGCGGTCTCATACATCTCGTAGACCTCCACAACTCCTTTCAACGCAATCCTCAGGAAGGTCATGATGTTAACAAGCACATGGTTCCTCCAGTAAGCAATCTTCCTCATCTTCAGCCTCGTCCACCACGTACCAGCCGGGGGTTTCGCCGGGTCCTCCTCCTCCAAGACCTCAAACCCTACTTTCTTTGCGATGGCCGCAATCTTGTTGTAAGCCCTGAGTCCGGGCAGGACGTCTCCTCTTTAACTCTTACAAGAGAAGAGAGAGGTGAGAGGAGGAGGAGAGAAGAAGAGGAGAAATGAGCAATTAGGGGAGAGGAGGAG